GTAAGGCATTTATTGGGAAGGAGAATATAAATAACATTTCTTTTTTCTTGAACAATATTTAAGTGACACTGCTTCATTGTATCAAAGTATCAATATCAAGCAGTAGCAGTTAAAATAAAAGCGAAAAAAAAAAAAAAATTATATCAACTCTCAAACATGAGTTTACATGGAAAGCAAGCTTTCTTGTTTTCCTTAATATTGTTTATTTCTCTGTGGGAGCAAATTGCCCTACCACTTACAAGTAGAGGAAGCACAATCAAGAAAAATGACCTACAATCAGAAAGATGTCACTCCGACGGCAACGGGAGCAAAATCGCCGTCTGCGTCCTCAACATGTTAAAGTCAGAGATTGCTCACTTAAATCTTACAGTTCATTGTAAATCGAAGGACGACGATTTGGGAGTTCACGTTCTAGGTTTCGATCAAATTTATAGTTGGGAATTTCGTAACAATATTTTTGGTACGACACTCTTCTTCTGTGGACTCACTTGGCGAGATTATTTGATCTCTACAATCACAGAAGGGATTGGAAGAGATGTGCCAGATGCATTTGGTATGCCGATAAAGATGGATTGTATGGCTACACTCATGAGGGTATAAATGATATCATTTTCCGTTGGCCCAATCAGGTCCAAAAAAAATGCATCACATGCGTGATGTCTATCACTTTCAGATTATTATGCCCAATAAGTAATGTCTTTTAGAGAAATATTCGGGAGTACATTTTGTAAGTGAATTTGGTGGTTCTATTTTAATGGACTTCATTTCTCTAGGCATGGTTTATCTATTTCCTTTTCGTTTTATTCTTTTAAGAATATAACTAATATGTATTATTTATATTAGGAACGTGGATGTTATTGAGAATGGTGAGTGGAACTATTTTTTTTTTTATACAACATGGGATTGAACCCGCAATTTTTTATCCAAATTTTACCCCGCCCAAATCCTCTCCAGTGCCATTAGAGCAAGAGGTCTTATGCAGTACTGGAACTTTAGACTGGCGGGCTTGCTCGAAGCCTGAATTTTTCAGGCTTGGCGGGTAGGCCCAACAGCCAGCCTGTCCAAGTTCCATTTTCGGGCTCAGGCTCGGGCTGCCCGAAAATGGATGACTCGCCGGAGTCGCCGCCGAGAGAGCGCCATCAACTGTTGTCCGCCGAAATTTTTTTGAATTTTTGCACTCCGGCCCAACTTGCACGAAGCCCGACCAATGGCTATAATTTTGACCGTTAGCGCCCGACCCGACCCGCTGACTGACTCCAACGGCTCTTTTTTTTTTTTTTTTTTTTTTTCGTTGTTTGATTTTCGGCCCAACCCCACCCCGCCGAGACAAAATAATGGCCGTTGTATTCGAATTTGGGGGAAACAAATCAATTTTTTAACCCAAAAATTTCCCTATAAATACCTCGATACCCACACATTTTTCTTACCCAAACTCTCTCAATCCCTCTCAATTTCTCTCAATCTCTCTCAATTTCTCTCAATCTCTCTCAATCTCTCTTACAATTTTTTTTGAAAACAATCACAATATCCTAAAGCTCTCTCTCTCAAATCACTCTTATTTTTTATAATGGATTATTTTGGTTATGGTGGTAATCCTGTTGATGCCCAACACAACGTGAAAGAAAGACAATTTTCCACTAATGAATTTATTACGTAGGAATCCTAAACACAATCAACTGAGGAACCTACTAATCCGAGCCATGGTAGAGATACTGGAGGTCGTGGTCGCAATGGTGGCAGACGTGGAGAAGCGGCAAGTGCAAGTGCTACTGTGTATGCAAGTGTTGCAAGCTCCAAGAGAAAATAGAAGCCCACCTGGACAATTTGGGATCACTACGACACAATTGAGGAGATCGACAAGGACAGTAACACTAAACATATAGCTCATGTAAATATTATTTATCTAAATTATAAGGCGAAACTATTCACGTCACAACACACTTGAGAAGACACTCTGAAAAGTGTCTTCAAAAGCTTAGCCAGTCCGGCGGAGCCAAACTCCGCCAAATATAATTATCTTTTGATCGCGCAATTGGTGGTCTAACCACTTGGAAATACGATCCACAAGCAGATCGTATGGAAGTTGCACGAATGATAGCTGCATTAGATCAACCACTTAGTTTTATAGAGCATCCTAATTGGCAACGATATATTAAAGTTGTACATAATCCTAATGCACAGTCTACTTCAAAAACTACTCTTAGGAAAGATTTGTTAAAATTATTTAAAAAAGAAAAAGAAGCATTAATAAATCTTTTACACTCGACTAGCGGTTGCGTTGCGTTAATGGCAGATATTTGGTCTGCCGTTGCCAATAAAGATTATTTAGCTGTAACCGGACATTACTTTAAAGGATTCAATTTAGATAAGAGAATATTAAGTTTTAAATGTGTTTTAGGATCACATAGCGCCGATTTAATATATAATACAATTTTAAATGTAATTAATAAATTTAGATTAAGAGATAAAGTAATGGCTATAATATTAGATAATGCTAGTGCAAATACTAAAGTAATTGAGTACTTCGAAAATGATTTAAGTTTATTTGGTGATTGTACTATTTTTCACCAATGTTGTGCATGCCACGTAATTAATTTAATATTTAAATCCGGTTTAAAAGAAATGGCTACTCACATTAAAAGAATTAGATATACTATTGCATGGATTCAAGGTAGTAACCAAAGAGAACAAGATTGGTTTAGGTTCTTACAAGTATTAAATCTACCTCCTAGAGCATTAGCCTTGGATATGCCTGTAAGATGGAACTCAACTTATATTATGCTTCAACAATGCATCCCCTATAAGGGTGTTATAACAATTTATATCCCTTATAATGATTGCACTTTTTTTTCTTACCAAGTTTTTATCTCAATTGAATTTTTCTAGGTAAAATTTTTAACGAGGATATATATATATATATACACAATGTTATAAAAATAAAAAATATAATAAAAAATATTTTTTTTTTCAGGCAATTCAGGTGGGTTTAGGCTGCCGGACCGAGCTCAGGCAGCCAAAACTAGGCCCGCAGCCCATCCACGGGCTTTCTCAGGCTCGGGCAAGCAGCTTGAAAAATTCAGGCGGATCGAGTCGAGTGTCTAGCTCAAAATCAATTTTTTCGAACGGTCGCGGGCGACCTGTCCAAAATTCTAGCACTAGTCTTACGCAGAATGGTGAGTGGAAACAAGGGAAAAGGAGAGACGGAAGTTCTGAAGTTGAGTTATAAATGTGTGTTTTTGCGTCTGTTGTAATATTTCCCTCTTGTGTAGTAGTATAATATAAAAGCCAATTCTTCGTTTAATATTTTATCAACAATTTCCCTAAATTAACCATTATCATCACAGAACCTAATTATAATTCGCAGCTGGCATCTTGCACACATACATAGCCATTAAAGAGTGCAAGATTCCTTTTAAGTAACAGATTATTATCTATAGTAATAAATTTTGTAACATGCAATTAATGATTAGCATATCTTATGGAGCTTTTGAAATATTAGGATTTGTAACTGCCACAGATTTTTATGGAAAACCATTTACTATCAATATTTATTATTTAGAAGGAAAATATAGATGGTGTTGTTGCATTATGTGCTAGAATATTTATAAATCAAGTTGAACTCCATTGGTAACCGATTGATATACGAGTTTTTTTTTTTTTTTTAATGTATTGAGTCTTGAATTCATGTCCATGAGTGTTTAAATGAAAGGCAAGCCTTGTTGATTGCTTTAGCACTCTTCATTTCTTTGTGGGAGGAAACACTACCAACAAAGCACACAGTCAAGAAAAATCAGCTACAAAATGAAATTGTTGCTCCAAAAGAAAAGAAAAAAAAAAGACATTGCATATATATATATATATATAATTGGTTACTTTTAGCTCCAAAAGAAAAGAAAAAAAAAAGACATTGCATATATATATATATATAATTGGTTACTTTTAAAAAAAAATAGAAAATTTATTGTTGAGAGTGTATGAGTTTGAATTTTTACTCTTTAATCTTAATAAATACCATTTTATTAATATAATTATTTGACTAAAAAAATTATAAATTAAAAATAAAAGATAAAAATTTTGACTTTTTTAGGGGTATTTATTACCCTTACTTTTTTGAATTGGCGCTTACCATGGCGCAATTTGGTCTACATGATAAGCTGTAGCCTGAAAGGTCTGCCACGTATATTCTTTTCACATCACAATTCACCCACTTGGATACTTGTAATTTAGGTCTTCCGCTATATATGCGCGCGCGCGCACACACACACAACATATGTATATATATCTCTAGGTTCTCTTTTTCTTTTTTGCTTTGACAAAGCTTGGTGCTAGGAAACTTCGTTGCCTGTTCTTATTAAAAGTACACTATAATTAATCATAGGGTGAACATTTGAAAGGAAATAAACTGATTGTAATGTTGATGTTATGGCACTTTATATGTATATAGAACTTTCATGCAAAGGAAAGTTCATTTAGCAAGAGTAAACTTGTAGCAATCAACAATCTTTTCATCCTTACCCCATTTTAATGCCGGCCCTCGTATAAAGATACAGTTCATACATATTCTGATCATTTGGTTTTGGCCCTCTCCTACTATATTACTATACTAATTTCTAAAATGTTGTTACCCAAACAAAATGTCCATACACACATATATACATGCATGCATCTATTTCCTTTTTATGAAAAGTGAGTATACCTTGTATTAATTTGTGCATCATAATAAATTGTAATAATTGTACTATAATTAATACTATTTGATACCATGTAATTATTTATACCTACTGAAGGAGATAAGATAATTCGTAATTGTATGAGGGCGGTGTTAATGTAGAGCCATATTCTAATTGAGTTCCAATATATATGTATATATATATAAATGTCAAGTCTCCTGATCATCTTGAAAAGCTTTCTTTATACAAGTTTAAATATTGAACATTATTTCCCCATGTAAATTACTTAACCATATATAATATATACATACACAGCACCAAAAAGCTCTCTCAAAATCATGGGAAGACGTAGTTCTTTAAATATTTATGATCAACTTCCCAACCTATAAATTCCCTCCAAAACTAAGATTTCCTTTTCATTACTAATCTTAATTTCCTCGATGGCTTCAAGTTCAACGACAATTGCGAAGAAAGTCACTCTCCTCCTCCTCAACACATCCTTCCTCTTCCTCTTCCTCCTCTTCTTCCTCAAAATCCAATACCTCAACCCCATCATAATTTCCTCTCCCAACTTCCTCACCACCATCACCTCCTCCGACGCATGCGCCGCCTCCCTCCGCAACCTCACCGACTCCGCCGCCAAATGCTCCTTCATCCAAATCCACCAAACATGCCGCCCCAAAGGCTACATCAACTACCTCCTCCTCTTCTACTGCCACTTGGGCCATTCCCTTCTCCTCGGCCACTTCTTCCTCCTCCTCTGGCTCCTCCTCTTGTTCTATTTACTCGGCAACACCGCCGCCGATTACTTCTGTCCTTCCTTAGAAGGCTTGTCCAAAACCCTAAAACTGTCCCCCACCATTGCCGGCATCACTCTCCTCTCCCTTGGCAACGGCGCCCCCGACGTCTTCGCCAGCATCATCTCCTTCACGAGATCAGGTGACGCCGACGTCGGCCTAAACAGCGTCCTTGGCGGCGCCTTCTTCGTCTCCAGCGCTGTCGTCGGTGTCATTAGCATCGCCATGAGCTCTAACCCTAATACAGTCCCACTTGACAAGACCAGCTTCATCAGAGACGTGTCTTTCTTCCTCGTCTCTTTGTCCTGTCTCATCGTGATACTTGTTGCCGGGAGAATCAATTTCCTCGGCGCTCTCTTCTTCTTCTCCATCTACATTTTCTATGTCTGCTCCGTCTCCGCCACACACGTCTTCTATAGAAATGACAACAGCGAGAATCAAACGACGCCAACTTCGGACGACGACTATCATGCTGTTCCTTTGTTAGGCTACGTCGACGATGGTGATAATAATAGTGACTACAATATTAGTCATAATGATTATATGAAACTTGATCATCAGCACGATGATCAATACGAAATTAAGCATCAAAAGTTTACTGGGATTAGAAATTTTCTCAAGTTGGTGATGAGATTACTAGAGCTTCCACTTACGTTGCCGAGAAGAGCAACCATACCAATGGTCACGGAAGAAGAATGGTCAAAACCCTATGCAGTTATATCGGTGAGTCTAGCTCCAATTTTGTTGTCGTTTCTATGCAACACCCAAAGAGAGCATGTTGACTCGAGAACAGCCTTGGTGACCTACATGACAGCTGTCCTCATCGGATTGGTCCTCGGGAACCTTTCTTACGTCACCACAAACCAGTACGGACCACCCAAGCAGTGCCTCTTTCCGTGGTTGGTGGGGGGATTCATGATGAGCGTGACGTGGACTTACATAGTGGCTGAGGAGTTGGTCTCACTTTTGATTTCCTTGGGAAGTGTGTATGGGGTCAGCCCTTCGGTTCTCGGGCTCACTGTCCTCGCGTGGGGCAACTCGCTGGGGGACTTGATTGCCAACGTGGCGATGGCAGTGCGTGGTGGGCCTGATGGGGCCCAGATTGCGATGGCGGCGTGCTATGCGGGGCCCATGTTTAATACGGTGGTCGGGGTGGGGTTCTCGCTTGTGCTGTCAGCGTGGTCGGAATACCCATCAGTGTATGCGATCCCGAAAGACCGGTCGCTGTATGAAACGACAGCGTTCTTGATGGGTGGATTGCTTTGGGCCCTCGTGGTGCTGCCCAAAAACAGAATGAGACTTGATCGTCTGCTTGGGTGCGGCCTTTTGGCCATTTATTCTTGTTTTCTGTTTGTGAGGCTCGTCGGGGCTTTCGGTTTTATTGGACTTGCCAATCCGAATTCTTAAAAAGGTAACAAATTGAAAATTAATGCTGAGTTATAAATTTATATGTTTTATTTTATTTTTATACGGGATATATATATATATACCGTAGAAGTTCGCTATCATTATAATGCGTGCAATCATAACTGAATGAAACGGGATTGTGATTGCACCAGTTTAAGACCATAGAAGACGAGTACTAAGTCGCTATAGCTACTGCGGTTAGTCGGTTTTTATTCGAATATATATATATATATATACATACATACTGTTTTGTTTTGTTTTCCATGGTTATTTTTTTACATACTTGTTTAGGGCGTCTATTAGAGGTTATAATACTACTATAAAGTAAGTACATATATTGTTTTTAGCATATAAGTTAATGTTAGTGGGGGTAACTAAAATAGTATTTTTGGGGTAATTTGGCTGTTATTTATTTTGTGAAAATTGCACGTGTTATACATATATAAAGATATATACTACATACGGAAGTTTGTTGTAAAAGGTACGTGACGCTAATCAATAATAAAGGAGGCAGAAGGCTTCCTTTTTTTTTTTTTTTTTTTTTTTTTTTTTTTTTTTTCTTGAGTAGGAAACCGAAGGTTTGAACTAATGATCAGAAGAGCATATACATTTGAAGCTACTAACTATATGGGGGAAAAACAGGTATATATGATAGAAGTTTGGTATTTTATATGCAATCAGTCTATTTAAAAAGTGGTTTTGGTTTTGTGTGGTTAAAAAAATAGTACTACCAATGGATGGCCACCATGGCCCCACATGAAAGGAACTGTTGATTAATACAGGTTACTGATGATAAGTCTCTCTTCTAGAAAATTAACGGATTAGGTATATGTTCCCAAAAGACCCAGTGAAAGTGAGGGTAAAGTCAAGGATAAGACCAAATGCCTAACTAAAACCAACCAATGAGCCTTCACCACACGAATAATTGTTCACCATGCTATCTACATAGAATTATTTGGGATTTTTTTTTTCTTTTCTTTTGCTATTTTCAGTGTTATAGTTTCCCTCAATATTGCAGACCGTTACACCAAAAGTTTTTTATGCCGATTTGGGATGGGCAATAATAATACACAATATTACAATGGTGATTTCTGTAATGCATATATTCTTTTTTTTCTCTCTTTACATTACATTACATTAATTAATGGTCTAATATTGCTGCGATTTATTGCTTCCCATAAAACAAAGTAATACTCCAGATATATTATGTTCAAATGGTTTCCCTCAAAATCACATTGTTGTGTACGTTCGGTTTAGTGTTTCAAAGGATTCCTTCAAAATAATTAAATAAATAAGTAAAAAGAGGATAAATGGCATCAAAGAAAACTTTAATTCTCAGTGTTTACTACGTGTACTTGATTTTCAATGTTTGACTTTCGTTAATCTTCTTTAAGCGGTAAGTCTACACATTTATCGGTGACTTGCTGAATTAATATTGCCTTCCAAAGTCTCTACATTTGGCATAGAATCTCCAGCCTCGGAATGATACACAATACAAGCCCCATAACTAGTGATCTACTAATGGACTTTAGTCTCACTAATGAGTTTCTATTAAAAAAAAATGTAATTAGGTGTATTCCCCCAAAGATCAAGAATAATATGTGACATATTCAGGATAATTAAACGTTATCCGTCGCTACCAAATGCCAAATGAAGACCAACTAATTAGCAGCTACTACAATTACTGATAATAATAATAATAATAATAATAATAATAATAATAATAATAATAATAATAATAATAATAATAATAATAATAATGACATCGACGACGACAATAGTAAAAGAGTTCGTTGAGGGGTTAACGACTTTTCTAGTTGCATATTTTCCTCTATTTGAAATCATGGCTATCTTTCTTTATCAAAACAAAAAGTACTTTAGCTTATTACTTTTAAATTTTTGATTAAGAGTGGAACTTCTCTTAACTGTAGTCTATAGTTGAAAGTATTTCAGTGTGATATAGATGTTCATTATATTATAATGATAATATCTTAAACTATTTAGGTTGGACAATGTTGTTTGAGCCCTGGGGTTTTTGTATGTTGTGCTTCAATTGAAGTGCCTTGGGGGTTCTTAGCTAGTTATTATTTTTGTATTTGTACTCAAAAGAAAAATATTAAAAACAACGACAATGTTAAGTATCCTCACTAATAAGAGGTGAGTCTCATCTGTTAACTTCGTACTCTAAGATTCACTTGTATCGTCGTTGCTAAATAGAACTGTACCACTCAAAATCTTTTAAATAGCTTCCATATATTTTAACCATACAGTTACCTATTACTATTAATATTATGTGGTTCCACATCGTCATTATTATGGCTTGAAATGAAATACCTAATCTTATAGCCAAGGCTACTGTCTTATCATTCTCTAATAATTTTGGAAGGAGAAAAGGACGGGATGGAGTTAATAAACATAAGAAGTGTTATATCAAAGGAGTCCATAGTGTTTCACATTAAATGCCATTTAAGAAGAGGGAATGAAATTAAAAGAAAAATCAAGTGGGAAGGTAAGGGGATAAAATAAAAATCAAGATAAAGAATATTTTGTCGCAAGAATTATTTTTTTTTAAAAAAAGTTTTCTCAATAAAAACGCACCAAACAGATATTCCCTATAATAAATTGAGAGTTTCTTTAATAGTTTCCGCAAAAATAAACTATCGATAGTCTATTGTTTTTCAGTTGTTAAATTTGTATTAAAATATGTTTGTTATGTAAATTTTTTTAATTTAATTTGATTTTGACCCGATTCAACAGTCACAAAAATAAATTATATTAAAACATGTGGATAAATAGTTGCCAAGCCATACTCCATTAGAAAACTCTTTTCGTCCGGATAAAAATTGATCTTGCTAAACACAAAGAGGTAAATCTCACATGATAAGACCTACGTTGGCTCTATAAGTGAAACTCATTGTGTCTGATGGGATAAATTTTTTATAATAAAATTGTCAAACTTACTCTTAAAATATACGAATTTAAATGTTTACTCCTTACTCTTTATTCTTAAATAATACTTTATGCCTAATATAATTATTTAATTAAAAAGACATTAATTAATAATAAAAAATAATAATATCCATACATTTTGAAGAATAAATTCTTCATTTTTTTCAAAGATATATTTGTCGTTTTCTTTTCCGCAATTCACAGGTAGGACTGCTCTACACTATTAGGCAGTAGGGCCCACTTCCATGACAAAAGATCCAAAGTATATATAGGTCCACTTATATGATTCAGTAGTCCCAAACAATGTGGACGGTAATATCCAACAATTTTTTGTGGTCCAAAGCAATTTTTATTTTTATTTTTTTTGGTGTGGGACCAAAGCAATTTTCATATCATTCAAACCATATAGCTCGATTTCCCTGCGGCCTTTACTTATGTCCCTCATAAGTTTTCAAGTGGCTTATTGTCAAACAAATTTATCCGAAAAAGATTTACATTCAAGTTCAAATTTGAATTTTTGGGTTAATTTTAAAAATTAAAAATATTGCAGTATTTTTTAATTTCATTTTTAGTTCCCATGACTCAAATCTAAGTTGAATTTAAATTGCAGACAAAGAGGATTCAGGCTTGCAACAACGTCAATCAAAATATTAATGTTGATTTGTTGGTATTGAAAATTGCAAATATCAAAAAGACCTAAACATAACGTAAACTGCTTCGGCCAAAACATATAAGTTAATAAAAAGAAAACAAAAGAAAAAGAACAAATAAAGAAGAAACAAAATACTCTTCTCCAAAAACAAATATATCCAACAAACTATTCAGACAATTCCAAAAATAAAAATGATGTCTCGGAACATCAATACGTTGTCAATATTGTTCCCATTTTATTGGAATTCTCGTGAATCTAATATATATATATATATATATACCTGTATGTATATATATTTTACCTATATGTATAAGTTAATATATATACACATATAATATTTTCCCATTGTCCATATCAAAAGCCTCTCGAATTCAGATAATAACAATGGAATATGACATTCACATTTATCAGCGGTGAGGGAGGTGAGTCTAGGGGAGGCCTATGCACCCCTTGAATTTTTTGTTGAGTTTTTATTTTTATCACATGGTTTTTCATTTATTTTCCCCCATATATACCTCCCTTTTAATAGCAAAACTTTAAATACATCTCCACTAAATCCAATCCCAATATTTTTTTATTATTCTTTTGATATTTTCCTATTACATTTTATACTTTTTAAGTCTATTTAATTGATTTTTTTTAATTTACTCTTATGAAACGCTTTTTCTTTCAAATCGATCCTTAGCTTCTAAAATGTTTGTTCACATAATTTTTATTATATTAAAAGTGACACTCATAATAAATTTTAAACGACCCATTAAAATAATTTTTCTCAAATATATCTCTAAGTACGGATATTTTTTTTTCAAACAACCTTTTTAATTACCATTTTCTCATAAACACCTTTTCTCTAATTTGCCTTTGTTGAAGTAAATATATATATTTTTTCCAAATGCGTCTATGTGTGCTTAAACATCATTTTTTTGGCGACAATCTCAGCTACTGTTTTTGCACTTGTACATCATAAATATTTTTTTTAATCTAATTTATCTACTAAAATCTTTATTATTCAAATATGTTCTACTTATATATATGTATACTATCCGATCAAAAACATATTATTATTATTAACACGTCCATTTCAATTCATTCTATTTAATATATATATATATATATACATATTATTATTAAACTTAGCTCTTAAGAGGGTAATAAATTCAAACAAAAAAATAAAACTCTTTAAAATTTTAAATTCAAGTATCAAAGAATTCATTAGACTGATATGTTTTCAACTAATTAATAGTATATTAAAGGAAAAGAAAAAGATATTTCTTTTAGGAGTCAGGTTTGTTAGGGTTTTAACATTTTTTATTGATGTTTGCCCCGAAACAAAATTTAGGCTCTGCTATTCATATTTATTTAAAAAAAAAAAGGAGTGCCAGAGCATGCATGTTTCTTATCTCTTCCTTTTATTCTGAATCGAGATTGAGATATAGAGGTTTCAAATGCAAATAATGATCACGTGAAAATAGAATAATATGCTTTTTCGCATGTGACTGTCGTAACATTCATACTAAGACAGAAATATGAAGTGATTGTGCCAAAAATTCAGTGTCGTATGTGAATATCTACACTTGCCAAAATACAAAAGAAAATAATGAGAATATTTTCACTAGAAAGAAAGAGTGCCTTTCAATTTACATCACCACTCATAATCCTCACCCAAAAAGCAAGCAGCAGCCCCAATCTCATCCCAATTATTCAACTCAATTTCCACACTTTCTCTTCTTTCTCTATCTATACATTGTCAAAATCTTTTTATATGCCGACAAGTTTGGGTCGTAACTAGTACCTCAATAGTGTGGACCCTTTTGCTTATGAACTTACCTCAATATATCGCTCTAGATTGAACTCATCTCCACTTTTTTTTCTTTTTTTTTTTTTTTTTGGGCTCTGAAAACTCATCTCCACTTTGCACTGAATTTTGGGGGAGACCTCGTTTGAAATTAATGTGTTTTGGGTACTTTGCGATGAAATAATTGATGATTTATACATCCCTCCTAACCAAAAAAAAAAAAAAAAGGGAAAAGAAAAGAAAAGAAAAGAAGATAGACATCTGAAAATATTGCATTCTACGAAGTAACACGTTTGTTTGAAAAAGTAGCACCCTCATAATTTGTGCAAACATTAATTTCTGATTGACACTTGTGCCAACATAATTGTACCACCGCGCATTGTGCGTATAGTAGATTCTCTGTCTCAATTTTTTCTTTTGGGCCTTTGGCTTAAACGCGTTTTATTGCAAAGCTTCAAAAAAAAAAAAAAAAACAAAAGTTGTCATTACAATTATAGGGTTATTTTCTTCATGCCTTGATGTGACACCTTCTCAAGCTAATCTCTACTTATAAGATCAATTATTTAAATCAATTGTATACGCAACAAACAAAGATAGGTTGGTTTCTCTAAAAGCAAAACGTGACACTTTTGAGCATTTGACAATATATTAATATAAGCACATTTCAAATGAAACTAAAGAAAATTTGCAACAACTCTGAAAAACCTCATATATGTTAGTATTATATACCAAATACATATATAACATCTACATTTACAACTCCTAAGACTGACTAGTATGCATCTATAATATTATTATCTTCAAGTTGTTGGGCAGATCCAAGTGCTTTAAACAAACTCAAAGATATAGACACAATGTAAATTACCAAAAGCCCTCCTCCAAACACCCCATCAAGCCTCATACCTCTCCTTGGCAAAACCAAAAGTGCCCAAAATAACCCTGCGGCTAAGAACCCCATTGTTTGCAAGAGGGAATTGTCACCACCAGGGATGGTCACAGATGAAGGGTAGTTAGACCAACAATACCCAATAAGTGACAAACCCAAACCAAACAATGTGTTGAAAATGGGACCCGCATAGCAGCCTGAGAAGGCAATCTGTGCGCCCTCCGGTGCCCCATTTAGAGCCATTGTCAAATTGGTCACCAAGTCACCTATTGAGTTTCCCCAAGCCAAAACCGTCAGCCCCAATATAGAAGCATCCACACCAAATATGTAGGCCAATGAAACCAACAGCCCCACCAGCTCTTGAGCCGTGATGTAGCTCCAAGTTACACTCATCAAGAACCCCGCCGCCAGCCACGGGAGCACGAATTTCTTCGGCGGCCTCGATCCCTCCGTCGCGATGTAGGCTGCGACGCCACACGACACCCCTAATACCACCCCAACTCCACATATCACCAGCACCCACAATTTTCCACCGTAGCTCTCAATTTGGTGAATCCCAAGGATTGCCAATAGAATTGGGGCTAATGTCACAGAAGCCACAGCATAAAACTTAGACCACTTGTCTTCACTAATCACAGGAATTGTCAATCTCCTTGGCAAGTAAAGTGGAAACTCAAGTATGAAAAGAACCACACCACAATTCACAAACCCCTTTCTCTTGTTGATAATCTCCACTTCTTCATCACCCACAATCGCAATACTATTATTATTTTCATGATTATTAAGCTCACCCTTTTCCAAACTGGCCAAGATTGGAATTGTCAAGTCATTGGTGGAATTATCACTAGACCCCAAATCAAGCCCATCATTCTTTGAACGCGTATGCAAGAAATACACCACAATCACATACACAATATATATAGAGAAGAAAGTAATAGCACCCCACAAATCAATCTCTCTTTGGACCAAAATCACAGTCAAGCAAAGAAGAACCAAGAGCAAGAAAAACACATCCCTAACAAAATCAGCCTTATTGACTTGAACACATTTTTTGTGCATAACAATACTAATTACCCCAACAACCACACATGATACAAAGGAAGCACCACCCAAAACAGTGTTGAGCCCAATCTCAACCGTTCCACTGCCCATGAAGGAAACGAGGCTGGAGAACACATCTGGGGCTCCATTCCCGAGGGAGAGAAGTGTAACACCAGCAATTGTTGGGGACAAATTGAAGAAATCTGAGAGGCTTTCTAGTGAAGAACAGAAGTACTCAGAAGCTGTGTTTCCCAGAAGATAGAACAAGACTAAAAGCCAGAGGAAAAGAAGGGAATAACCCAGAAAGGGAAAGCTCTCAAATTTGCAGTAGTAAAGGGAAAGGTAGTCGATATAGCCTTGGTTGACACATGGGTCGATTATGGATTTTAGGTACGAGCACTTCTCTTCGTGGGTTTTTAAACTATGTAATCCTTTACAACCTTCTTCTTCTTGTTGTTTTTTGTTGTTCTTGAGATGGAGGGTGTTTTTGAAAAGAAAAGATTCTTGGGAGTGAAAATGCAAGATCAAGAAAGCGGAGGAGGCCAAGACGAATGAGATGTTCAGGAAAACAATATAGTTCTGTTTGCGTTTGGACATGGAAACAGAGGTGTCCATGGAAGAAAAGGAAAAGAAAAAGAACAAAGTATCATAAAACAGAATTCATGAAAGAGAGAAAAAAACTGACCTTTGATATGAAGAAGAGGAAGAATGATTTTTATTTTTTATTTTTTTATCTCTGAGGAATCCCTGTGTGTGTATATATATACATATATATATATATATATATTTGTCGCATATATAAAGAAATGAATCAACTATTTCACGTAAGGATTAAGCAATACGCGGGAGATTTCTCTTTTCTTTTCTTTTCCTTTCTTTTCTTTTGGTTTCCCTTTTTATCTTTACAATGTGAAAAAGGAGAGAATTGGTCTCTGCATAGAAGTAGGGAATAGGATGATGACACAATGGTCAAGGGATAAAAAGGAGAAAAGGAAATAAATTATATTTAATAATTATAAAGTTATTGATGAGAGAGAGAAAGTGATCCAACGGTGAGAAGTCAAGAGGAGATAGTCCACTTGTTGGATAGAGAGAGAAAGAGAGTTGGGTGAAAAAAGAAAAAGAAGAGCCTTAAGTCTTGACTGAGAGTAACAAAGCACACATTGGACAAATGGGTCACACGTCATTCCCTCAAACAACAAAAGAAAGAAAGAGAAGATAGAAATTGTCCACTTTCGTGGACGATGAGTTTTCCTCCTTTCCTCATCTTCCCCCCCCCCCCCCCTTTTTTTTTCCTTTATTTATTTATTTTTTAGCTTTTTCGGTCCTTTTGTAGAAAATTACAATCGTTCTTCTATGTTAAGAATTTAGATATTTTAATATATCTTTGTGAATATCTATCGGAGTCAAAATACATGTAACTTCTAATAAAATTTGATGAGAATTTAGGTTTTAAAAAGAGCAGTAATTGGTCAGATATTAGTTCTTTATTAAAGAACTTTCAAAATTGCAATGCCTTTTTTTCCCCAAAAAAGGAAGTTAGAGAAAAGAGTTGTTTTTACCAATGGTTTTTAAGGGTATGCATTTAAATCTCTGAAAATGAACTTTTATTTTGTAAATAAAGCAGTCCTGAAAATGATTTAGAAGAAAGATGCCAAGTATCTATGTCGGTTTTTTTTTTTTTTTTTTTTTGATGAATAAATATCTTGGTAGTTTTTCCTTGGAGAATTGTAAAAAAATGTATCAGTTTTGAAGATAGTAGCTAAATACTGCTAGTAATACGGCATACTACTTTTAGTATCATGACAAGTTATTGATAGTATCACGGTAGACTACCAAGGACACAGATTGGTAGTGGGTTAACGACAGCAACCTGATGTGAAACCTTTTAAGGGGTTACGAGATAATTGCAAAATTTCATACCTTGACTTGAATTTTAGTAAAATTTTCAGAATATTATAAATATTGTAAAATGACCTAATCATTATTAATATTACATTTTGTACTAAATAATAATAGTCATTTTAATGATGTCAAAAGTTTGTTATTCTAATAAAATTTTAAAAATTTTGCTATATTTAAATTCTACTACTCAAATTTTGCTATATGTGTATTAAAATTTTCCACTATCTAAGGTGTGAACATGGCATTTAAGGTACTTAGGAAAATGTACTCAGTATTCTTAAAACAAGAATAACTGGCACATCAAATCGCCCCCAACTAGCATTAGAGGTAATAAGTTACAAAAAATAAATAAACAAATAAAAAATAAAAGAATTTGAAAAAAAATGAAATAAAAAATGTTTTTCACCTTTTTTTGTTTTCTGGGTTTATGGTACCAGTAGTTTCTGGAATCAATAGTAGCTTTTTCTTGAATTAAAAAAGGAGGGAATGAATTGGTAGAGGTATTCCAAACACTTCAAAGCTGTTAATTTTAATCTCTGACAATATGGATGGATTAGAGATTTAAAGAAGAAAATCCAACGCCAAAGACCCTTCCTATTTGTTTACATAATCTTTGGTTAGACTTGCGTGGGATAATTAAATGTACTCTTCCAAATATACATTCGGATCATAACACGATTGCTATTACTTCTTCCTATCAGGTCTCAAATTAATCTATTTATCATTTGATGCATACGTGATTTAATCTATTCATTCTTCAAAACGATCGTCTAAATGGCCATGTGGACTTCTGAACCGTGGAGAAATCCGTGACACGTTTTTGAAATACGATAATTTTTATGGAAAACCGTTGTTATTTTGGCGTCGAGTAGTGCAGTACTTAACTCGTTTTGTTCTTTTTTTAATCCTTTTTTCCTTTAATATTTTTACGATCATATTACTTTCAAACCCGTGAAACAAACGAACTTTAAATGTTTAAATCAAAACGAGCTTTGTCTCAATGACATTATAATCTTTTTTTTTTCTAAACTAAACTAAAAAAAAAAAAATAAATTCTGCATAAATAAATTTCTTACACGCAGCTAATAATAAACTACTTAAGTAATTTCAACACGACAACATGTACGGAGTACATTTTCCAACTAGCATAGAAAAAAAGGAAGGAATATATTTCTAACCACAGATCACGCAAGTCTTCCATTCTCCTAAGAAAAGGGAGGAATATATTTCTAACCACAGATCACACAATTCTTCCATTCTCCTTCTTAAATGTTAGCCAAAGAAGAATAACTTCAATATAAGTTTTTGTCTACATATTCTTAAAAAGAAAAAAAAATTTCAGGTTTAGAAAATTGAATTAGATTAATTTTTCTTTCCTTTTTTTTATAAATGCTATGTATAATATTACGGATATTGATAAATCGTTACTAATTTTGAACAGAGTATATATTAATTTAATTACTTGTGAAGTCTTTTAGATTATAAGCATTGTTTAGTAGATTAGGTCCAGTTGTGGGCCTTGAAAAGTAGTGGCGGAGTAGAAAACTTTTTCAATTGTAGTTTTTTTTTTTTTTTTTTTTTTTTTAAAGAATTCAATTGTAATTTCATGAAATATGAATAGACAAAAAAAAAAAAAAAAAAAAAAAAAAAAAAAAAAAAGAAAAAGAAAAAAGTAAAGAAACAACTAACAAGCATATCACATTCCTTTCTACGAATGCAAGCCATGGATATACTCAAGGAACTATTGATATGAGGAATTTGCTTTAGAAAAGAAACATAACTCACGCTTAAATGTTCTTCCATTTTATATATAAATACGGAGAGCTTTACTTGCTTTAAGATCTCCATTATCCACCACAACTTGAATTCACAGTGTTTTCATTTTAATCCCGATCCCACTTTAATTTAATCCATTGATCATGGCAGAAGTAATCCTATCTCCGATTGCTGAGAAAATCATTGGGGGTTTGGCATCCGCTGCTGTGAAAGAGATTGCATTGATTTGGGGTGTCAAGGATGAGATTGAAGAACTTGAAAAAACCATTTCAACCATCAAAGCTGTGCTTCTTGATGCTGAGGAGAAGCAGAACCACAACCGCCAAGTCAGAAACTGGCTCCAGAGGCTTGCAGGAGCAGTTGATGAGGCCGACGACTTGGTGGACGACTTCAACACCGAAGATTTGCGACGACAAGTGATGCCAGGAGCTGATATGGCCAAGCAGGTAATCCGCAGTAGCCTACCAGCCTCTTGATTGTTAAATTAAACTAAGACGTGCTATATATTATGAACTTTAAACATTGCTTAAAAATTAACACAAGTGGGAAAAACTTAAATTTCCGAGATTTTGTTATTACAAAAGCTATGTGGAGCTCTTGTATTTCGTTGTTATTAAATTATTTGCAATATTTTTGACGTAGGATAGTTACAAAGAAGAGAATAGAGAGATATTAGAGAGAAGTGTGAGAATTTAGAAGAAGATGAACAATAGAGAGAAAATATGGATTTTCAATATCATCAGTAGTTTGACAATAACAAACTAATTTACCCTTTATGTATAAGGAAGTAAATAACGACTTGACATACCACAAACTAGCTGTCAACTTTCAGTATCCACTTGTGTTAGATAAGTGACTCAAATTGGTTTAGAAAAGTTCATATTTTGTATTGGCAAGGTCATTAAGTGTTTATAAATAAGTGTTTTGTGTAAGACTTTATGTGTGTCTAAAAAAAATATAGAGAAATAGTGCTTTCTTTTGAGAGAAAGATAGAAAAGTGAGGAGAGAGATAGATAATGATGTAAAGGGTTTTGGGTAGAGAGAAAATGTAAGAAAGTTGAATGAGTATGTAATTATAAGACTATTAGTGAATTTTTCTCCCTCTTCCGTGGATGTAGGAAATTTTTTTGAATCACTTAAATCTTTATCTTCTCTATTTTTCTGTTATTTTGTTTCAGTTTATTTTTCTGCTGTGTGAGTATAGGGATGTGTTTTTCTCAACAACTGGTATTAGAGCTGTGGTAAAGATTAAAAGAAAAAAAGACGTCAAGATGATGTCCGGGATAAAATTTGAGCAGATTGAGCGGTTTGATGGAAAGAGTAATTTCAGCATCTGGCAGAGTACGGTCAAAGATGTTTTGGATAATTGAACTTTCACCAATGTGACCAAGTCCATGATGATCACAACTTGCTTTTCTTATAGAGAGAACATGATCCAGTTTGGTGGTGTTGGAATTCATCATCTTCAATGACTTTTGAGTGCGCTCTAATTCTACCCTTGTCTCTTGTAGCTATTTTACCTTTTTAGTAACCTGAAATTCATAGTTCATTACTGCCCTCTTAAGCACATTTTTCTCTTTAATAAATTCATCGATTCTCTCCCATAAAGAATTATTCATTTCACTCACTTTAACCCACTTGTTGAACATGGCCTGGTAGGATTCCTAGATGGCTTCATAAGTTAGGTCTTCATTATCACTACTCTTGTCAGCAATTAAATTAGCTCCATCTTCTTTGCAGTTTTCAGAATCTGTTGCAGAAGGTGTTGCAACACCGTCTGAGACACTGTCTGCAACACTGCCTCACGAACATCTTGATAAGCATAGACATTGAAAGTAACATAATTGCTCACGCGGTCATCATCCTCATGGCTAACTTCAGAATCCTCATCACTCCATGTGACGTTGAGAGACTTCTTCTTCTTAAGGGTGTTAGCATACTCAGCTTAAATGTGGCCATAACCATCACAACCTCAGCATTGAATTCCTCTATTTCTTATC